TACACTTTACTTAAAAGTGGTCATATTCGTGCCCTCTTGCCTCTCATGTTAAAGAGAACTCCAACTATTCCATGCATCCACCTGAATAATATGTAATAATATTTTTCAGATGTCATTGTCGTACATTTTAGCATAATATGAGTGCTCTAACCACAGCCATCTGTGTGTGCGTGTGTGTGTGCGCTTCAGGGTCAGGAGCGATTTTCACCTGACCACCGGCGGTACTCTATGCTGGACCCCTCGGCTCTGGATTCTGAGGTAAACCGCCTACGCCAGCGGCTGCTCAGCACTGAGGATACCCTGAGAAACGCCTTGGAACACAACCAGCAAGTCGACCAGCTGGTCCAGGCCATGCGCAGGCATCCAGATAAAAGCCCGGTAAAAATGCAGAGAAACCCTCCAGATTCAACTAAGAAACAAGAAAATTATTTTGATGGCAAGCAGCCTGGAGAGATACACATCAGAATTGATGCACGATGCTTGTAGATATAGAAAAACTGTAAATATTAGAAAGGTTGCGCATAGTGACATGTTTTTGGACAACTAGTGATAGTTTAATATTTAAAGGAAAAAATCTGAGGAGCCTCTTTTGCTGGTTTGTTGGTGTAGTTTTCTATTTACTAGACATCAGAGTAATATCAATCTCCTCATCTAACTCTCAGCAAGAAAGTGAATAAACATATTTTCCTAAATGTCGAAGTAGTCCTTCAGTTTAATTTACAAATCTAGTTCATTAAAACATGTTAAGAATTCAACTGCATTGATCATTTTTCTTTTTCAGGTTCATGGTGCAAATTCAGCCAATGGAATTCATCATCAGAAGTCAGACAGTACTCAAAATGTTGGTGTTCTTTCATTGTATTTTTTACCATTTATGTTTGGATATTATAAATACTGGGTGATTTCAGTAATAAGACATCCTACTTGCTTCTTGTTTTCAGGAACAGCACTGATATAAGCAGAAGAGATGAAACTGAACTGGGATAGGCAGAGGTAAAAGGAAACGCTTGTCCAGCATTTCTCCCGATCCTGCGATGGACACCTGAAGAATGTTTCAGTTAACAGTTAAAACCAAAACAGCGAATATCTATCTTGAGTGAATTTATGTGTTGTTGCAGAAAGCACCTATTAGCCAATCATGAAAACCGCTTTAAGTACTATGAAACATAAACAGGAAATGGGACATGGACATGAGGAGATATTATCCGTACAGTATGCTGATAACACACAGCATGGCAACTCTTGATGTTTTACAGTAGTCAGAAAGTTTTAATCAACAAGTTACCCGGAACTCTTTGACAATTCAGATTTTCGTTCCAGAAAGCAAAGCGGCTGGTGGACAATGATGTGGAGAACTAAAGAACTCAGTTGTTTTGTTTGTTTAATTTATTACTTTAACCTTTGCTCCTCAGCTTTGTAATAATCCTCCATACTGTAGGTGAGCTGTCTTGGCCAGTGACTGTCAGAGCAACTGGTGAAGGATGACACTGATTTTTTTTTTTTTTTTTGATGGAATTTGACCAATTTGTCACTTTTTTAATACCCGATGAAAGGACTGGTAACAAAATCATCACATCATAGTTCCAATATTCAAAGCCTTGCTGTATTGCACAGCACGATAAGCAATTATGGGTGATCAGCATCATTGGATGTATTAAAAAGGACCTTAAAACATACTCCATCCACAATCTTTTTGAATACAAAACACAAACACGGTTTAAAACATGACTTTAAAAAAGGCTTTTGTTTTATCTTCCTTGGTTGTGATCAGGTTGATTATATTTGGATTGCGATGGATTTTAACTGACGAGTTGTTTCTTACTAAAAAGTGTTAAAACATCTATTTCTCAACCAGCTCCAGTAACATAATCTGTTCCCTTCATCCATCAGTCCATGTGCTGAATATATATATATAATACACTATAAAACATGGCTAAATACATTATTAGTTCTGTCTTGATCTTCAAGCACCAGCCCTTCTCATACACAGGACAGATTTTTAGCAATCCTTAATTTGTTTAAATTGTAAACTAAATTTGAGTCTTTGTCTATGACATCAGTGTGCAACAACCCTGCACTGTGTAGCTTCCATCAACAGCAATTTAGTTTTAAGATATCCTGAAGAAAAGTCTTCATTAAGGACAACAAAATGTCATGATATAAGAGAAAAACTGAGAAATCAGTAAATGGTACCAAACTGTGCTATTCCCTCTGCCATCCTTTGAAAACATTATCATGATTAAAACATTACAGGGCAACTGACATTTGAGTAGTACATTTAGTGTAACCCTCAGTTAGTTATTAAGGTGGTGTAAAGCATCGGTACTGTTATTACTCTTGCAGTCTAACCCTGGATAAACTGTTGACTGGAACTACATTTGAGCTGTTGGAACACACACTGTGTCAGTGAAGAAAACTGAAGTAACCATCCAGCCTCAGAGCTGTCACACATTCTTGTGATTAACCAACAAATGCTTGCTATCATGTGCTCTAAATTATCCATATGCGCATTAGGAGAGAGTTATCTGGAAAAGGACAGATGGTGATGGTTTCAGTGCCAGTCCTCTCCTCAAATGCTGGGTAAGGTGGCTTTTCAGTCAGTCTCCAGTCCTTTTTAGTCATTGGATTAGTGTTGTAGTCGAGCCACTAAACATCGAGTCCGAGTTGAGTCTCAAGTCCGCAGTGTTCGAGTCCGAGCCAAGTCTGAGTCACCAAAGAATACAGCAAGTTGAGTCAGAGTCGAATCCCCATTACTCGAGTCTAAGTCATCAAGGTCTATATTAAACACAACTGACACTTCTCTCACCATTTTAAAAGGGGTTTCCTTATTTGGTGCTTATGTTGCAAACAAGACGATCATAACTGCTGTGATTAACGCATCATTTGCTGGTTTGCAGCTATCAAATCCTGAGATCCCAAACTTTCTAACAATGTATTACATCACCATATTGCTCAGCAATTTAATACATAAAAATCATTTAGAGAAAAGTGGAGTGTACAATGGAAGTGTGCCAGATACAGCATGGCGTGGGCTAACAGGTTTTCATATAAATAGTTTATGCCAAATTATTATGGCCTATTACAAAAAAAAGTCTGATTCCTAGTCTCCGACTTCCAAGTCCGAATGCAGTCAATGCTCAAATCCAAGTTGAGTCATGAGTCTTTAAAATCAGTCTGAGTCCTGTACTTGAGTACTACAACACTGCATTGCACATCTATGGACTCCATGCCAGGACTGAGGTTTGATATGAATGAACCCTGGGAGGCCTGCTGAATTCAGCTCTGAGAGTTGTTACTGTGTGTTTACAGAATGGACATAGTGAATTATTCCAGAGTTTTGTGTTCTCTAAAACTTTGATGAAAAACGCCTCTTACTCTGTCAGTAATGATCAGATATTTTATTTACTGTGGAGTATGTATCAATATACACTCCACCCATGCAGTAGTATTAATTAACTCTATGGTGTGACATAGTGGCCCTTTTTGATATTCATTTGAGCCAGTTTCGATGTATCATAGTGTCACTGGGTTACTGTTCTGATCATTTGTTGAAGTCTTCTGAAGGGCTGACACAGGAGCTAAAACCCAAACAATGGATCCACTCATCCTTCCCCAGGTTGACAGCATCTGGATTCCAGTTGCAGAGATGTTATCACGTCATAGAGGATTTATACCACAAGTCTTCCAAATTTGTCAGCTGAATTAAGAGATCCCGTTTGTAGTTGGTCATAGGTTGCTATTGCTCCATAGGAGACATTACACAGAGGTGAGTGGTGTAGAATGCTTGGAGTAGCGTCTCCTAAGCAAAACTTGTAGGGCAGGCACTGGTCAGCTCACATAAAAACTAAATTTTCCATTGGATATTGTACAAGGCCTTTTTAGCTGGAGGGTTCATACCCTTTGAATTATTGCTGCAATGGTTTCAGAGATTGAGTCATTAAATATTAACAATGTGGGCAAGGGCTTGTCAGTTTTTAAAGCAAAGCACTGTAGGTTTGTGCATTTCCACAGAGTTGATTCAAAGTGGTGTCAGATTCCATGCTACTAAGAGGTTGGTGGTTTGGGAATGACAGCCAGCAACCATAACCATTTACCTATTCCTCAGCCACATGCTGTGAGCTAAAATAAACTCTGATTTGTAGATCATATGCCCATTTGATGCAAATATGTGGCTTTAATATAGGGTGGTGTCAACCACAAGAGGGGCCAGTCATCTTTTAGATAAATGGCCAAGCACCTTGATAGTGAAGATGAAACATCCAGACATTACATTTACATGCATTTGCAATCGTTAGATTTCTAACCTCTAGATGTATCATTTTTACTTGTTGGTCTTGGCAAATGTCAGGTCTTATCTCCATGTCTTGAATTTTTTTTGCTAGAGGGCAGATTGGTTATGCTGTTGACATTTGAATAAATAAATGGTTACTTATTTGCAGAAGTGAGCAAATAGCGCTGTGTATGTGAAGCACAGGAATAAATCTTATGGTGAACAGTGGATTACAGTTTTAACTGAATGTTTCAAATGGGTGGTGGTAAATAGGTGAAACTAACCAGATTACACCTGACATAGTAGATAATATACATAGTTTTGTTAAAAACTATAAATCATTTCTTACTATGTTTATTATAAGAAGCATATGTTCCTTTGCCCAGTGATATAATGATGTACTTTAGCCACTATTAAACAGACATGAGTTATTTTAGGCAACCACAATAACTATGGCATAACTGTCCTGGCCAGGAATCCATGTAGCTGCTTTAAATCCACTTTGGACAGAGCCTAATCCTAAAATTTATGTGGGTAGTGTACAAATATCACATCAAACCACCATGCTCTCTCTTTCCTAAAGTAAAGCTGACTGTGAAGTTGCAGACTGGTTAAAACGGTCACTCCCCCAAATAAAATATGATATACACAAGGAATATTTTCTTCTATGTTGATATTGCTCTGAGGGTTTTTCCAGGGGTTCCTCCGTTAATCCTGTATGTAAATTGTAGCCAATAGATGCTGTTGTTGAGTTGGGCTGGGATTAGCAGGAGGCGAATGAGTTTCAATTTTACTGGATTACAGAACAAAGAAAGGGGAAAGGGACACCCTGCTCTGTTAAGGGAAAAAGAGAAATTAACTAAGGGAAAAAAACTCAAATAATTGACTATAACGCATGTGATCGAAGTCAACATTTTGATAATGCGGATTACGATGTTTTAGCAGACCGTACACCTACATTGTAGATGGGAATTGCGAGCGTGTCTGATGGATTAAAACGAGGGAATAAACCTATTCCGGGATTGACAGCAGCAACAAGGCTATTTAATCGCTAATTAAGGTCTGTCTGCTTTATATTCACAAACAGTTATATAGTGTATTGTCATTGCATATGTTTCGTGTTGTGACTGTACATTTCGAAATTACGGATTATAACCTAATTTCTGGACTGGGTGAGGAGATGAAAGGAAAGTGCTAGCGCTAGCTAGCAAGAGGGCTAACGCAGTAGGGCTAACGAGTTTAAGATAGCTACTTAGCTAGCTCAGCGTTATTATGACACCGTTAGCTAATTAGCCAGTGGTGATTAGTTAGACATATGTTAAGTACCTTAGAACGGTTATTGTTGGTTGGCAGTAAACTCATCCTAGAAGGACTCCACCCTATAACCTTGCGAGTGGGGCGCTAGCCTGTATTTATGATTAGGATACAGTGTTTGTCTGCTTGCTAAATTACCCCCCCATGCATCGCAGAGTATAACGTTACCAGCTAGTACAACAAAGCCAGCTAGCTAAATTAGCAAGTGTAAACGAAAAAGGAAACAACACGTTTCAACTTCAGCAAAATCATCTTAACATAGCAAGATACAACAAAAAGCATTGCAGAGTTAATTCCAACCTTATTACACGATATTAATGAGCAGTTATCTCCAATCATAAATAACTAATGGACTGTTGTCTTGAATTCCAGTCTCGTAGTGAAAGTACGGTCGCAGGAGTGTGTCTCAAACTAAAAAAATAAACACATAAAATGAAAATATAAGACGAATAAACAAACGTTTGTGGTGCGGACTCAGTGACTCTGAATCTAGACAACGTTGGTGGTATTTTCTCCTAACTCTCAGCTGTCGGGTTGTAGTTTATACCAGACTCCTCAAAGTTTAAAATCAGCTGACTGGAATAAAACTTTGTCAGCTGTGACTGACCGATTGAATTCACTAGACAAAAAAAGAAATGTACAGATTGTACACAAACACATGCTCATTCCCTTTGGGAGAACAGACGTTGACTTATTTATTACACTCCTGTCTCATATCCTGTGGTATCAAGCTTTTTCCCCTCCTGGGTCCAGTTCTTCAAAGTAATTCTTCTTCACTCCCATGTGATGTGATCTTGATCATTTCTCCTGCCATACTTTTTTAGCACCAACCACTCACAGTAACTCCTTAGCCTGTATACACCTTATAATCTCTCATATGATACAACATCATGTCAACTCAATCAAATGATTTTAGTGTAATGTTACCCTAATTGAGCATTAACCACTTCTTCATTAGTTGTCCATGTCAAGAGAAAAAGGAAGGTATATGTTTAGACCATTTATTACTGTGGTTGTTAAGACAACTCATGTTTTGCATGATTGGTACTATTAACTGCATATGGCATATAAAAACACAGATTTTTTATTATTCTGACTGAACATTTTACTCCTAATGTTTTATTGCCTAGTATTTTTCCTGTTTGGCATTGCAGTAGGTAAAAATTGTAACATCACTGATGACATTCCTCAAGGACAGGTTGTAAACAAAGATCATGTTGTAGTTTTGCTGTAATAAGTTAGATGGTAGCTGTCAAACCACACCCTGACTTCATGCAGGTTGTTGGTAAGTATGACAAAACTGCAGTTGTCTTTCTTGCATAAAAAAAATGTAACCATTGTTTAGTATTCAATAACTGAAATGCCAGAGTTATGCGCATTTTAATTCTTCTACTAGGAATAAAGTCCAGAGTAATTCAGCTATTATTTTAGCTAACTATTGGACAGGTTACAGACCTCTAAAAATTGAGCTGGTTTAACAAGGGTTTTCTCACAAAACAATTGTCTTAAGGATCTTGTATACCTGGCACATGACACATCACTTGTTGTGTGATTGAATCCCAATGACAAATGTACTAGACTGTCTCTGCCAGCACTTAAAGGCTGTGAAAAGAAATGAGAAGTACCCCATGAAGTTTATCTTGTAAACAAACAAACTTCTGTTTTCATGCAGTCACAAAAAGGTGTTGTGTGTATTGTTGAGGCCTAACAAACTGAGTTGAATGCATTTACTTTCTCCTAAAAAAACAAAACAAAATAAAAATAGCAGGGATGCTTGGCATACCATTGTCAGGAATGCATTGCGTCACACACATTTTCTCATTTGCATGCACATAATACAAGCAAAACAAGGATCCAGTCATAACAACATTGATCCGTAGCATAAAGATTGAGATTTAGCATCACACTGCTGTCAAATAGATTGCAGCCATGTATTTTAGTTCATGAAGTTTGTGACCTCACCTGGTCTTAGCTTAGGCCCATCCAGCTTCAATCAGAATTGAGGCCACAATACCTGGCAAAACTGTAATAACCATATATTTGTTATGGTGACCTTTTGCATTAGATGCTTTCAAACATAATAGGACTTCACATAGACCTCTTGATTTGTTATGGCAGTGTGATTTGGGCTTGTTTCAGCTAGCACAGTGTTAACACTAAAGAACAGCACTGACAGCCACACATGCAATGCCATTAAATGATGTGTTGATTAATTTACAAGGGGGTAACAGTTATACTAAACCCTATGACCATCAACAAGAGCAAGAATAAACAGCATTGATTCTGTCAGGCTGTGGTACATTCTTTTTAACTTGCCTCAGTTATCAAGAAATGTTTCTTAATTTGTTTTTGCACACAGGCTGTCTGATTTACATTACCAGTCTATCTTGTCTGCAGCGGAAACAAAACAGAAATGATTAAAGCCCCTTTTTCACTGCCCTTTCAAGGCGGTATTACTGTGCCAGTTTTCTTCCACTGCGTTCTGTATAAACATACCAAGCCCGCAAAGGGGGTCAGTGTGGACCTGCCTTTATTCTGCCACAGGAAGTAGTGAAATTGGCACAACCGTTCCGCCCCAGCCTGGCATGGGGGATTGTTGGTAGAGAAGTGTGAAGTTTTGATGGAGGATTTAAATTTTAATGCTGCTCACAAGAAACAGAATTCCTCCCTATTCTTACAGACATGTTATACACTGTGCACAAAAACTGAGTCAGAATCATGTCGTAAATGTGCAGGATGAGCAAAAGTGCATTCCTCTTCCATTGCTCTTGACTTGAAAACAACAGCTATGCTTTGCATTTCTGACGTGTGTTATATGTATGGTGTTATGTTATGCTGGACATAATGTTACTCTTCTTCTGGGATGCTGGTATCTGTGTAAAAAAAAAAAAAAAAACAGGAGCGCATTATGCTGGCTTTTTTTTTTTTTTCATTCAGTGCAAACAGGCAAAGCTACAATAAAGAAGGTCCAGCTTACTGCCAGTATAGCAGAATCTCTGTCAAAAAGTGGCCTAAAGCACAGACTTGAGGAAGTGACAGGTGTCACACATACCATGCCTGACAGGCCAGTGGCGTTTAGCAGTCTGTGCATGGATAACAAGTTAGAGGTTTATTATTTATTTGGATTATTGATTATTGAAGTAATGTGTATTTTCTTTCCAAAACAATGACTTAAATAAAGACCTCAGTGAACGACTCTGTGCCCTAGCTAGTTGCAAGGAAAGCAGACACCAAGCTGCACTGACAACCTTAGATTGTTGTTTTATGTGAACATAGACACTTCACTAGTCAACTTGACTGACTCATATATTTGGATTTGTGGCCAAAGTGCCCATTTTATCTGTAAACAGCCTAATTGCATTATAGTCTTTTTTTGGGCCTTCTTAATTGGGTTTTATGCAATCTGAGCAAATTTAAATTCACTTAGAAGTTAGCTGCAAATGACACTTAGGCAGCTTGAATGGGATTTAAAACCCTGGAAGAGGCAAACATCATAGTAAGACATAAATAGAAATGTAAATGCGGAAGCTGTAGATGTTTGTGGTTCCATGATTTTGCACAACAAGCCTCGAAAAGCTCATTAAGTCCAGTTGAAATGTCTTAAAAACTATTTTATATGATCCTGAACAATAAAGTCAAATGAACCACTCTTTCTTAGAAACACAAGATCAAAGTCCATGATGTCAAACAAATTACAAAACCAGTTTGCTCCCACCTACAAGGATTGCTGGCTTTTTGTGGACTCAGAGAAAAAGAGAGCGTTTGTCGAAGTGGCATGACCACAAAGTGTGTGTCATTCATCAACAGAGCAAGATTTGCATCAACAAATATTGAGGTTCTTTTTTATTTAACTTCATAATAGACTCATGGGTCTTGTGTGTGACTTTAATAATGTCGCTCTGCTGTTATATAATATTGCTGTACTGCAATATTGTTGTATGGTTCAATATTCACTAGGAACCGTGACAGCACCGTGACATTATACTTGCAAAGCCTGTACTTACTACCTTTCTACTCATCACTAC